TTGCTAAATATTTATCAATTTTATTGATATTTTCAAGAACTGGCTTTTGGTGTGATTGGTTTTTCCTCTACTGTTTTTCTATTTTTAATTTCATTAATTTCTTTTATTTTTTTCCTTCATTCTGCTTGCTTAAATTTACATTCTTTTTATGTTGTTACCTTTTGACCCCCTTCATCCATTTCTCTGACTCCCCACTTCTGGCAACCACTAACCTGTCTCTATTATCTATACCTATGCGCTTCCTTTTTTTTTTCTTTTTTTAAGGTTTCACATATAAGAGAGATCATATTCATATGATATTTATCTTTGTCTTTCTCCGCCTAATTTAAATTCGTGAAGTAGGAGCTGCATTTGACACGTTTTTCTGTTATATGCACTTAATGCTATAAACGTCTCTCTCGGCACTGCTTTAGCTGCATCCCACAGATTTTAATACGTTACATTTTCATTTACATTCAGTTTTAATATACTTTTTTATTTCTCTTGAGACTTTCTCTTTGATACATGGATTATTTAGGAGTGGCTTCTTTAATTTCTAAGTGCTTCGATATTTTTCTGTAATCTTTCTGTTATCGATTTCTAGGCTGTCTCCATTATGGTCAGAATACCCTTTGTATGACATGAATTATTACAAATTTGTTAACAGCTGTTCTATGACCTAAGATATTGTCACTCTTGGTGAATGTCCCATGTATGCTTGAAAACAATCTTTATTCTGATTTCACTGGGTGGAATGTTCTAAAAATTTCCATTCGATCCTGATGGTTGACGGCACTGTTCAGTTCTTCCCTATCCTTGATAATTTTTAGTAGTTATATCCTTTAGTAAGCGAAGGGGTTATAAATCCCCAAGTATAATATCTGATTTCTCTAGTTTCAACTATTTTCTCCACTCAGTCCTTTAAGGTTTTACTTCATTTATTTCCCAACTCTGTTTTTTGGTGCATGCATACTTAAGACTTGATCTTTTTGATCTTTTTATCATTTTGAAATGTCCCTTTCTTCCTAGTAGTTTTCTTTATTCTGACATCAATTTTTTCTACTAAAGTAAGTTTATTTACATTTATTTAAGGAAGAGATAATTCATACTTAATATTACTATCTCTTTTCAATACAGCCATTCCAATTTTCTTCTGATTAGTGTTTGCACGGTATGTATTTTTCTATCTCCTAACCTCCCTGTGTCATTGCATATGAAGTGAGTTTCTTATAGACAAAACACAGTTCAGTCTTTTTTGATCAATTCTACCATTTCCTACCTCTTAATTATTCATATGTTAGGACTTAAGTCTGCCATTTTAGTACTTCTGTTTGTTCCCTCCATTTTACCTTCCTCTGTTTCCCCTTTCTTATGTTCCTATAGGTTACTTGAACATTTTTAGTACTCCATTTTCATTTATTTACAATAGTTTTATTATATCCCCATATAATACTTTCTTTAACATCTTTATTGGAGTATAATTGCTTTACAATGTTGTGTTATTTTCTGCTGTATAACAAAGTGAGTCAGCTATATGTATACATATATCCCCATATCCCGTCCCTCTTGCATCTCCCTCCCACCCTCCTTATCCCACCCCTCTATGTGGTTGCAAAGCACCGAGCTGATCTCCCTGTGTTATGCGGCTGCTTCCCACTAGCTATCTATTTTACATTTGGTAGTGTATATATGTCAATGTCACTCTCTCACTTCGTCCCAGCTTACCCTTCCCTCTCCCTGTGTCCTCCAGTCCATTCTCTATGTCTGTGTCCTTATTCCTGTCCTGCCCCTAGGCTCTTCAGAACCATGTTTTTTTGATTCCATATATATGTGCTAGCATACGATATTTGTTCTTCTCTTTCTGACTTACTTCACTCTGTATGACAGACTCTAGGTCCATCTACCTCACTATAAATAACTCAATTTCATTTCTTTTTATGGCTGAGTAATATTCCACTGTATATATGTGCCACAACTTCTTTATCCATTCATCTGTCGATGGACACATAGGTTGCTTCCATGTCCTGGCTATTATAAATAGTGCTGCAATGAACACTGTGGTACATGACTCTTTTTGAATTACCATATAATATTTTTAATGACTGCTCTAGAGATTACAGTGTGTGTGTGTGTGTGTGTGTGTGTGTGTGTGTGTGTGTGTGTGTGTAACTTACTATAGCCTGCTAGTATCAACATTTTACTACCCTGAGTGGAACACAAATACCTTGCCACACTTTATGTCCCTTTCCTTTCCCACTTTCGATACAGTTTTCTTAAATATAACCTCTATATACATTGAGAACCATGTAAATGTAGTAATTTTTGCTTTGTATCATCAGACAATTTTTTAAACTGAAGAGGATTTATTTATCCCTTCCATTGCTTTCTCCATTTCTAATATCCCAACTGTCCTTCCATTATCTCTTCCTTTGTGTCTGAAGAACCTCCTTCATAGTCATTATTTTACAACAAATTTGCTGGCAACAAATTTTGCTAGCTTTCTTTCATCTGACAATGTGTTGATTTCTCTTTCATTCCTTAAGTATATTTTTCCTGGATACACAATTCTGGGGTGACATCAGGTTGTTTTTTTTTTTTTAGCACTTCCTCTGTTTTCCACAATTTCTGATAGGAAATCTGTTGTTGTTTCAAATTGCCCTTTCCCTAATAGCAATGTTTGGTTTCCCTTTCAAGATTTTTTCTTTGGCTTTAATTTTCAAAAGTTTAACTATAATGGGTCCGGGTATGGATATCTTTAGGTTTATTGTGCTGGGAGTTCACTCAGCTTCTTGAATCTGTAGAATTATGTCTTTTGCAAATTTGGTAAGATTTAAGCCAATATTTCTTCAAATATTTTTTAAATTCCACATCCTGTCCTCTCTGTCTAGTACTCTGATGCATCAAATGGTATACCTTTTGTTATTGTCCCACAGGTCTCTGAGTCTAAGTTCACTTTTCAATTTCTCTCCATTATTCAGACTATATAATTTCTACTGATCCATCCTGAAGTTCACTAACTCTTTCCTCTGTCCTTTCCATTCTGCTATTTAGTCTAACCAGTAATTTTTAAACTTTGGTTATTGTATTTTTCAGTTCTAAGATTTTCATTTGATTCTTTCTATTTTCTACTTATTTGCTGCAGTTTCTTATGTTTTCATTTGTTTCAAGAGAATTCATAATTGCTCACTGGAGCAGTTTTACAAAAGCTGCTTTAAAATCCTTATTGATGATTCCAACATTTGTGTCATTTCAAAGTTAGCCTCTGTTGATTGCCTTTTCTTGTTAGAGTTGAGTTTTTCCTGATTTTTTCATATGATGAGTAATTTGGGGTTGTAGTCTGGACATTTTAAGTACTATACTATCATACTCTAATTCCTACTTAAATCTTTTATTTTAGTGAATGGTCAACCTGTTTAGATTCTGAATGTGATCGCAGGCTCACTTTTGTGGACTGTGTTTCAAATGTCAATTTAGTTTATAAAGTCTCTCCAGTACTCCTCGGTTTTCTCTATTTACATGTTACCTATACGACAGAACTCCACTCCCCATTATCCTCAGCATGGGCTTGAGTGGGGAGAAGCACTGCCTCATTTCAGCAGAGCAGGCATAGAAAATAGGGTAATATGCAGGGGAGTGGGGAGTTGTGAAAGTCAATGAACCCACAGGCTCAGTTGGGGAGGGTACCACCTTATTACTGCAAGGGGAGTGGAAATCAAAAGCTCCAACCACAGGCTCCTCTGTGGAGGAATGCTTCTTCCTTACTTCAGAGCATGGAAGAAAGTCGAGTTCTGCCTCAAAACTCTGCAGGGTAAGGGCACCATCTTGTTAATGCTGTGTAGTTGTGAAAGCCAGGGTCTCACCCACAGGCTCTGCTGAAGAGAGTTGCCACCTTGTAAATTCTGGTGGGGTGGAAGACAGTCCTCCCTACAGGCTCTGCTGAGGAAGGGGACTGCCTCATTACTTAGCAGGGAAGAGGAGAAGTCAAAGTTTGACCCACAGGCTCCACTGGAGGGGGACATCTCCTTGTTACTGCAGGTGGGGGAAGGGTGTGTGTGAGACAAAGCTCTGGTCATGGATACTGCTGCTGTAATGCCTGTTTGAGTGTGCGGGGGTATAGATTTTATTGTGATGTTCTCCTAGAGAACGGATGGGATAGGTTAGGATGTTTCTATCTTGCTGGGCCATCCTTTGGCTAGAGAGAACAGGCTTTCCTTGGCACTATTTTTTTGTCTGCACTCATTAGCATTTCCAGGTTGTAGACTTCGCTACAACCCAGGCCAAGATATATGGGAGGCAAGAAAAATAGACAATCAGGGAACTCACTCAATCCTTGAGTCTCAAGGTCCTTAGATAGTCCACCTTCTTTTCCCTAACTTTCAGAGTTTTCTGGTAGGGTATTTCATGAGTTTTGTCCAGGATTTTTGTGATTAGTAGGAGAAAAACAGAATGTGTTTACTCCATCTTGTTCAGAACCCAAACCCTGCCACTTATTTTCAGTCTATATTTTTTGTGTCCTATCACCCTCTACTCTCTAAGTTTCCAGAGGATATGAACTGAGGTTTTATTAACCTAGTAATTGTTGGCTTGGCAAAAAGTATCATATATGACATATCCTTTAAGCTTATTAGCTGTAAGAAAGTGTTGATACAGCTTCTTGGCCTTTACCCACCATTAGGTTCACAATGTAACCCTGAAGCTTGTTCATTCATTTAATAAAGACCTGTTTTGTGAAAGCTTCTGGGGATACAGCAACAAGTAAGACAGCTAAAATCCTTGGTGTTATGGAACTTACATTCTATTGACTGGAATAGGATGGAGAGAACTGCAGGTATATGAGTAATGTGTTCTCTTCAGGCTGGACAAAACTCAAGTCTACTGTGTTTCAGTTAATATTAGGAACATACATTTGAAAAACTCAATATTCAGAAATCTATAAATTTGCAACTGGCACAAGTACAATAATTTTTTCACTTGGTACAATTAACTTTAATGATCTAGTAAACTAGTTATAAACTACTTACCACATAGAGTTGTTTCCACAGACTGGCCCATTCTTGCAGAGTTGCTGTAACTTCAGTCACAATAGAATCTTCAAGTGGAACCACAGTTTCATACTGCCTAGAACCAGAGCCACAACAAACAGTCCCATTATCTTTGATGAAATACCAGAATACTGTCTACTGACCTTTTCAACACATGTAAATCAAATTTAAATTCATGCAAATATAAAGAGAGGTATATCTAATTGAATACATATTGTTTAGCAGTAATATACTGCAATAATATAAGTGAACTAAATTAATGTAAACAAGTTTCCTCAACTTGTCCATTGAGGAGTTCTGGGTCTGGTAGAGGAACTGTGATCCTGGAAACAGAAAGGTACTAGGTTTCTCTCCAACTACCTTGTAAGCAACATCCATTATGGTGCCAGTCCCTGTGCTAATTGCCAAGGATTTATCAGTGAACAAAAATGGACAGGGTCCCTATCTTCATAGAGCTCTTACTGTGGATAGGGAATTAGACAAATAATCACAACAGATATGGATAGCAATGAATCTAAGAAAGAAACCAAATTGTACTATCAGAGATTTTAGCTGGGGTACACAACTAAAGAAGAGAAGATAAGTGAAGTCTTCTCTGAAGAAATGGCAATGCCCAAAAGATGCAAAAAGGTCACGACAGAAAAGTTTGTTGGGAGGGACAGGTGTGGTGTCACCTGCAGAGGAAACAATATACAAGAAGTCACTGAGATGGTAAAGAATTTCACATATCTAAGAACTTAAAGAAGACTGGTATGACTGAGGCCAGTTCTCACAGGTCCTTTCCAAATGATACTAAAGATACCAGACCTTTTTTTAAATTAATTTTTATTGGAGCATAGTTGCTTTACAAAGTCGTGTTAGTTTCCACTGTATAGCAAAGTGAATCACCTATACATATACATATATCCCCTCTTTTTTGGGTTTCCTTCCCATTTAGGTCACCACAGAGCATTGAGAATGAATGAGACGATACTGAAAGGTTGTTCAAAGTAAGGGCATGACTTGATAATATTTTTATTATGTCTATGCCACTTTTGAGAGTTAATGAAATATTTTCTGGGACCAAAGATTTTATATACTGATATGCTGAGGTAGATGGAACCTATACTCCAATTTGTTAGCCAAAGAGAACATCATCCACTTGCAAGCAACAAAGGAAAATTCATTTCACAAATTAGCATTAAGTATCATTTCTCTACACAGCTGACAAACCACCACTGTGTTCAAAGGTGACCGTGTATTAATATGGAGCATCAATGAATATATATTACTTGATTATGCTATACGGCTTTCTTTTTTATTTTCTGTGATTTATTCCAGCACATAAAAAAAAATCATCTTGGAATGATGCCAGAGCACTATCCATATTCATCAAATTTATAAGGTGAATTTTCAGTGCAAGGCTGAGATTTAAACTTGACACTATGGAAATAGAGAGACATGGGAGATGCTGTAAGAGTGTTGTGTTTTAGTAACATTAAAGCAGAAATGCTGTATAGGATAAACTGGAATAAAATTTCTTGAAAGTTTCACCTACTAGGTCTCCAGCTACTTTAATCACTGAGATCTATGGGAAAATTACACTGTTCCTATTTTAAAGTTCTAAAACTTTGGACTTACCTCAATTTATGCTAACCCAAGTATATACTAATACTGACGTATTTTTCTTAGTCTATAATATATAATCAGTATCCTGAAAATTCTTAAAATTCAGATACAGTGTTATTTATAAATACACGGTTCCACAGACCAAGTAGAATGTAGTCAGAACACTAAGAAAAATAACCAAATAAAGTGAATTAATAAGCAAATTTCCAAAGAAATTCTGGATTCATGCAGAGTAAAGAGTTTGTTAGAGGCCTGAACCAAGATGGCGGAGTAGAAGGATGTGCTCTCACTCCCTCTTGTGAGAACACCAGAATCACAATTAGCTGCTGGACAATCATCAACAGGAAGACACTGGAACTCAACAAAAAAGATACCCCACATCCAAAGACAAAGGAGAAGACACAGTGAGATGGTAGGAGGAGCGCAATCACAGCAAAATCAAATCCCATAACTGCTGGGTGGGTGACTCACAGACTGGAGAACACTTATACCACAGAAGTCCACCCACTGGAGTGAAGGTTCTGAGCCCCACGTCAGGCTTCCCAACCTGGGGATCCAGCAACGGGAGGAGGAATTCCTAGATAATCAGACTTTGAAGGCTAGTGGGATTTGATTGCAGGACTTCGACAAGACTGGGGGAAACAGAGACTCCACTCTTGGAGGGCACACACAAAGTAGTGTGCGCATCGAGACCCAGGGGAAGGAGCAGTGAATCCAGGGGAGACTGAACCACACCTACCTGCTAGTGTTGGAGGGTCTCCTGCAGAGGTGGGGGGTGTCTGTGGCTCACCGTGGGGACAAGATAACTGGCAGCAGAAGTTCTGGGAAGTACTCCTTGGTGTGAGCCCTCCCAGAGTCGGCCATTAGCCCCACCAAAGAGCCCAGGTACACTCCAGTGCTGGGTTGTCTCAGGCCAAACAACCAACAGGGAAGGAACCCAGCCCCACCCATCAGCAGTCAAGAGGATTAAAGTTTTACTGACCTCTGCCCACCAGAGCAACACCCAGCTCTACCCACCACCAGTCCCTCCCATCAGGAAACCTGCACAAGCCTCTTAGATAGCCTCATCCACCAGAGGGCAGACAGCATAAGCAAGAAGAATTACAATCCGGCAGCCTGTGGAACGAAAACCACATAAACAGAAACATGGACAACATGAAAAGGCAGAGGGCTACGTACCAGATGAAGAAACAAGATAAAACCCCAGAACACAACAAAATGAAGTGGAGATAGGCAACCTTCCAGAAAAAGAATTCAGAATAATGATAGTGAAGATGATCCAGGACCTCAGAAAAACGATGGAGGCAAAGATCGAGAAGATGCAAGAAATGTTTAACAAAGACCTAGAAGAATTAAAGAACAAACAAACAGAGATGAACAATACAATAACTGAAATGAAAACTACACTAGAAGGAATCAGTAGCAGAATAACTGAGGCAGAGGAACAGGTAAGTGACCTGGAAGACAGAATGGTGGAATTCACTGCTGCAGAACAGAATAAAGAAAACAGAATGAAAGGAAATGAAGACAGCCTAAGAGACCTCTGGGACAACATTAAACACAACAACATTCGCATTATAGAGGTCCCAGAAGCAGAAGAGAGAGAGAAAGACCCGAGAAAATATTTGAAAAGATTATAGTCGAAAATATATATATATACCCAAGTCCAGGAAGCACAGTGAGTCCCATACAGGATAAACCCAAGGAGAAACACGCCAAGACACATACTAATCAAATTGGCAAAAATTAAAGACAAAGAAAAATTATTAAAAGCAATAAGGGAAAAATGACAAATAACATACAACGGAACTCCCATAAGGTTAACAGCTGATTTTTTCAGCAGAAACTCTACAAGCCAGAAGGAAGTGACATGATATACTTAAAGTGATGAAAGGGAAGAACCTACAACCAAGATTACTCCACCTGGAAAGGATCTCACTCAGATTCGATGCAGAAATCAAAAGCTTTACAGAAGAGCAAAAGCTAAGAGAATTCAGCACCACCAAACCAGCTCTACAACAAATGCTAAAGGAACTTCTCTAAGTGGGAAACACAAGAGAAGAAAAGGACCTACAAAAACAAACCCAAAACAATTAAGAAAATGGTAATAGGAACATACATATCAATAATTACCTTAAACGTGAATGGATTAAAAGCTCCAACCAAAAGACACGGGTTGGCTGAATGGATACAAAAACAAGACCTATATAAATGCTGTCTACCGGAGACCCATTTAAGACCTAGGGACACATACAGACTGAAAGTGAGGGGATGGAAAAAGATATTCCATGCAAATGGAAATCAAAAGAAAGCTGGAGTAGCTATACTCATATCAGATAAAATAGACTTTAAAATAAAGAATGTTGCAAGAGACAAGGAAGGACACTACATGATGATCAACGGATCAATCCAAGAAGAAGATATAACAATTATAAATATATATGCACCCAACATAGGAGCACCTCAATACATAAGGCAACTGCTAACAGCTATAAAAGAGGAAATGGACAGTAACACAATAATACTGGGGGACTTTAACACCTCACTTACACCAATGGACAGATCATCCAAAATGAAAATAAATAAGGAAACAGAAGCTTTAAATGACACAATAGATCAGACAGATTTAATTGATATTTATAGGACATTCCATCCAAAAACAGCACATTACACTTTCTTCTCAAGTGCGCACGGAACATTCTCCAGGATAGATCACATCTTGGGTCACAAATCAAGCCTCAGTAAATTTAACAAAACTGATATCATATCAAGCATCTTTTCTGACCACAACGTTATGAGATTAGAAATGAACTACAGGGGAAAAAACGTAAAAAACACAAACACATGGAGGCTAAACACTATGTTACTAAATAACCAAGAGATCATTGAAGAAATCAAAAAGGAAATCAAAAAATACCTAGAGACAGATGACAATGAAAACACGACAATCCAAAACCTATGGGTGCAGCAAAAGCAGTTCTAAGAGGGAAGTTTATAGCTATACAAGCCTACCTCAAGAAACAAGAAAAGGGCTTCCCTGGTGGCGCAGTGGTTGAGAATCTGCCTGCCAATGCAGGGGACACGGGTTCGAGCCCTGGTCTGGGAAGATCCCACATGCCGCAGAGCAACTAGGTCCGTGAGCCACAACGACTGAGCCTGGGCATCTGAAGCCTGTGCTCTGCAACAAAAGAGGCCACGATAGTGAGAGGCCCGTGCACCGCGATGAAGAGTGGCCCCCACTTGCCGCAACTAGAGAAAGCCCTCGCAAAGAAACGAAGACCCAACACAGCCAAATATAAAAATAAATTAATTAATTAATAAATTTTAAAAAAAGAACAAGAAAAATCTCAAATAAATAATATAACCTTACACCTAAAGGAACTAGAGAAAGAAGAACAAACAAAACCCAAACTTAGCAGAAGGAAAGAAATCATAAAGATCAGAGCAGAAATAAATGAAATAGAAACA